TTTAAATATATTTTTAGACATAAACAGACTCCGCTGCGAGTCGCCGTCGAATGTGACTACAGAGTTTGTGCACATGCCTGTAAGTACCTACGCCGCAAATCACGTACATCACGCAAAGAGGGGAAAAATTCGATTTATGTAATTTATGCATATACAATACTGTTATTATATCATTGTGTTATGACGTGTCATTGAATGTTACGGTTTCGAGCTTTAAAACACTGTCCGGTAGTCGGCACACCCATCATGACGACCATCATCGTAGACAACCGACATTGTTGTTAATGTATAGTTAAAACGACGACGAAAGGAGGGGAGGGTCATCATATTATCGTGCGATTTTATAATATGTATATCATGTGTTTGTGTATATTTATAAACATATACAAACTTCTAAGTATACCCGACTACGTATACATACGTTGATGTGCCCAACCAAGTACGGTGTTGACTTAAAACCGGGTAAAACAAATATATATATATATATAACATAATAATATTATCTTATTACAATACTTTAAACCGTCGTCGATGGGATCCGATATTTCGGCGGATATCGGCGGTATGTCACGCACGCACGAGAGGTTTCGTTATTTTTTCATCTAAAATCGATTTTTCGCATCACTATAATGTATTATGTTCAATGAAATAAGCGCGCGCGAAAGTGTAGTTGTTTATAGTTTTAAAGAAGCGCTGTTGCAGCGCGTCTGCATTAATGTCATCCTTTTCTTGTCCGTTTATATTATTAAAGCTTTTTCGTCGTATATTTTCCACTCGATAAAAACAAATAATATATATCGGAGGTGTACAGGAGGCACGTCCTATAGTATAGTAGGATTTCATACGATAAATATTTTATTTTTTCTCCGAGCGGAGGACGTGCGTGTCGCTATCACATTGGCGTCGTGCTGCATTGATTTCGTTTTTTTTTTTTTTTGTGCAGCAGAACACTCTTAGGTGTAGAAGACAGAAATAAAAACATCTTTAGAAATTGTTACACACGCGATAGGTAGGTACTCCGTAATTCCGCACACACAGTTAGCAGATCTCGAGAAAATCACGAGGACAATTTTTTTTTTTTACTCAATTTGTAAGTTATAACCCGCAAAGACAAATCTCAACGTAAATTAAATATCGAGAAAAATACATCGAAGCGGTTAAGTTGGGTTACTGCGGAGCATCCGGGCGCGACTTTCTAGAAACTTTGTCACTTCTCGAAAAACTGTTCACTGTAGATAGGCATTTTAATAAAAATACATAAATATCATTAGGAATTTAACCTATTTGACGGTATCGGATCAATAACTATCCAAAACGAACAATAAAATATCATATAATTCACGTCGAGGTTTTAACCGTTCAAATAACAATAATAACATAATATATACTATCTGGTGTATCTGCAGGAGGGTATATTAATATTACATTTTACTTTTATTCCTTCCGTAATTAGAATATTATTTTATTTTCATCCTGATAAGGGACTTGATTTGTATGCGTTTCTGTTAACCTGAGTATAGTTTATTATTATGACTTGACCATTCTTCAAAAATAAGATAGATGTCGTTTTCTTCCACTGTTATTTTTCTTAAAAAAAAAAAAAATCGAAGGGGCTTTTTATTCTCCTTTTGGTACCAGAATCAATTTTAGTAGATTTTATCACTACGATTTTTCGAAAAATAAGTAAACAAATTGATTGAGATTCAATATTTTATTTAAGAAATGTACCTACTCATATCAAGAAATTCCCAAAAATAGTATTTTGTAAAAATTAATTACGTTTTAAATTAATTTACGGCAAAAAAATACTGATATTTTGAAGAATTCTAAAAAATCTGTTTTACCACAAAAATTGTTCTTAAAATCAGATTTACATATCGGTTTTTTTTTGAATTTTCAAAAAATGTTGAATCAAATTTTTGCTTTCGGTTTCAAGAATAAAAAATGAAAATGTATACACGCGTACTGCTATAAATGTAGGCAAGCGTTTATAAATTATAAATTTTATATAATTTTTTTTGGTTTTTTTATTTTTTTAATATCGATTATCGAAAATGAGCAATAATTGCATCATTAGTCAAGTCAATGCTGCTTTCTGGTAGGCACCTAATATATACAATAAGGACGCACCTCATCAGCTAAAGGCGTATTTGTTTTCGTACCTGTTTTCAAACACAATTCTACGACTGCATCGTTGCAATATACCTGCACACCTTATTTTATCCGCTGCGTACCTAAGTAGTACCGCGGTACACACACACGCCGACACTCGATATCGCATTATATCCACGTCCATTAGGTGATTGCGCGCGGTGACCGGAAGGAAGACCTTAACGCGAAATTACATGAACACCGGCTGAAGCACAGAACGTATTTATACGTTTGCAAGTAAGTATAGGTAAGTTCGTTCAGTCGGTGGTCGTTGGACCGATTTTCCCCTCACACTCTCAAAGCACGCCGTAACGACGCCGTTTGGACGGATATAAAAACGCGCATTTCAGACGCAAACGGTTTTTTTTTCGTTTTTCGTCTTTCGCCGCTATCCAATCGGCCCAATAGTCTACCGACCTGTCCATTGCGATGTTATTATTATCATCGCCATTATTATTACTTATAACTATAGAGCGAGGATTTGTATGCATTTGCATATTTATTATGGTCGATCGTATGATATGCTAAGAAAGCACAACATTTGTTTCATGACATAATGATTTAACATAATCATTTTATGTTAGGAAAATTTATTTTAAAGGTTAACATTATTTATTTACTTTCGTGTGTCGGTCAACATACCTATCAAACATACACAATAATAATAAATAAATAAATAAATAATTGTTCTGATTTAAATGAATAAAAGTAGAAAATAAATAATTTTTAATGGCTGTTAAAAAAATATTGAGTTGCATATTTCGGTTATCTTAAGTGCATATTTGCATGAATATTTCCTATAATTTGCGTGCAATAAGTCCCGAACCCTATTTTATAACTGTGCCGTGTAGGGTTTAAATCCGTTTAACGCTGACCGTATACTAATATTATATAGGTAGATATATTATGTATATATATGATCCCGCAGTGATCTGACCTAGTATTCTATATTAAATCGATTATATATTATTACTATATTATTGTCGATCCTGTAAAACGTGCAATCCGCTCAAATCGAAACCAGACCTCATTATATAATGATGTTTTATAATGTCATAATAATATTATAATATATATTTTGTAGCCGACTCTTGTACAAGGACGCATCATCGCCAACCAGCGAAACGATCTTCTTATATTATATGTGAGTATCGAGCTGGTTGTTTCTGAACGACGTTTTTATGTTAACAAATAAGGTCGAAAATCGACGACAAGACACACTGCTGTGATGTCGTAATTAATATAATAAAACAAAATTATAATCGCCGTTTTCAATATTCCGAACAAAACATATACTCCAGCCAAGTTTTTTCAAACAGTGCACTATACTTTTATCAATAATAATATGATTTATCTCAACTCATTCGGGCTAAAACGAAATAAAATAAAATTAGGTCGTACCTATATCGTATAAAGCGATTGATTCGCCGGGGGTACCTGCAGTGTGTTTCAGTTCGGATAAATATTAAATTTATAATTGCATCATCCATAAACCCCAAAAACATGCAATCTTAACCAACAAAATCATCGCTCGACGATGAGAGCGTTTTCAAGCGATTATTAGCACCATTAAACCATTGTATTGCCAATAATATGACAAGGTTAAAATAACCATATCAAACGTCAATATTTCGAGTTTTTCGTTTTCTCAAACTTAACTTAAATCCCCTTTTGAGATTACTATTACCTACATTTAATTATCTATATAATGAAACCAGATACCTCAAATTTTTCCACACATCCAACTTTTTGCCTGCATCCTTCGAGTCGACATGACGAAAGTTCACATGGTATTTTATAAGAAAAAGCGATTGCTCATTTTCGGGATGAGAAGACAATTATTTTCCTATTTACCAAAACGTTATTGGTAATTATGCAAATATGTTATATAGGTTAATGCGATAGTTTCATTATCTTGAATCCACGCACATTGTAATCTATTGATTATTAAGTTCCTTCGACGAACCGTCCTTTAAACGGAAACTTTGTGTTTCATTTATTAAATTTTTGGCATCGTCTCGGTGTGGTGTGGTGCGTTACTCGGAAACACCAACGATGTCGAAAAATTGAAAAATCACCGAACGGCTTTACACGGTGTACGATTTCGCAAAAATAACTTTTTAAATTATTTATCAAACCTTATTTACAAAATACCATACCTAGCCTGCAGTGCGCGACATTTAAATGTCACATGTATGGGTACAGCTTACACACGTGCGACCCAAATAGCGATCGTGGCGCCATAATAACATAACGTGCATCGCAAAGGAAACGTAATTTAAAAGTAAATTTGCATAATATTTTGTGCTGCCAATAGTTTTACATCAATTTACGACAATATAAAAAAACATATGAACGAAAAATAATTCGGTCATCGGTATAATAATTGATATAATATCGTTGTGTAAAAAATAAAAACCGAAAACGTCGGTGTTTACATTGATATAGGTAGTATAAAGGTGTTCTATGCATTATTTAGACTTTCGAATAATCCTCACCGACACTGTGTCAAAGTCCAAATTATTATAACTACACTCTGTGTGTATAATACGCGCATGACGTATACGAGTTATTATAAAACGCTTGAACGGTTTACCTATATAGTCGAATTATTACGTGATCCGAGGACGACAACAACCACGGGATGCGATAATAATAATAATAATATTCTAGATTTTGTCATTCGCGACGAGCAACTCTGAATATATATATATATATACCTACACGCTCATAATATTACAGCTATGTAATACATTAATATTATTATATAGAATAAGTGACACAATAAACCAGTACGGGTTCGACTGACTCTCAATACATCGTTTTGTAAAGTTACAGAAACAACGAGGTGGGGAGGGTTGAACGCATATCTGGAGACTTGTATATATAGTCCGCCGACCGTGTCCAATAATCATCATTCGACGGAATCACATCCAAAACACAACACTCACCATGAAATTCGTAAGTACAACACAAAAATACGTAACGGACTGCAATCCACCAAAAATCAACTAATAATAATAACATTCTCAACAAAATTTGAAGTGTAATGTTTTAAACGTTTGTGAATTTCGGTGTTTACAGGCAACAGCTCTGATCACTTTGGCGGTCGTAGCCCTCGTCCGGGCCGACGCGTCCAGCGCCGACAAGAAGACGACGAAACACGAAAAGAGAAGTTTGGGCTACGGACTTTCCGGTCTCGGCTACRGCTCCGGTCTTGGTTACAGCTCCGGTCTCGGCTACGGATCYGGTCTGGGCTAYAGCTCCGGCTTGAAGTACGGTTCCGGTCTGGGCTACAGCTCCGGTTTGGGATACAGTTCCGGCCTGAGCTCCAGCTACGGTCTGGGATACGGTTCCGGCTCTAGCTTCGGTTCCGGTCTGGGATACRGTTCCGGCCTGAGCTCCAGCTACGGTCTGGGATACGGTTCCAGCTCTAGCTACGGTTCCGGCTCTAGCTACGGTTCCGGTTTTGGCTACGGTTCTGGACTAGGATACTCCGCTGCTGCTGCTGCCGCCCCTGCACCGACAACCGGCCCGATCGTACAGATCTCCAAGGAAGTGCACATCGTCAACAAACACGCCCAACCGGTGTCCGCCCCATACCCAGTGCCAGTCACCCACGACGTACCCGTACCCGTGCCACACCCAGTGCCCTACGCCGTCGACAAACCATACCCAGTCCACGTACCCGCCCCATACCCAGTTCCGGTCGAAAGACCCGTACCGTACGCAGTCGACAGGCCTGTTCCCCATCCAGTGCCATCGCCTTACCCGGTGCCAGTAGTCCGCGACGTTCCAGTTCCGGTTTCCAAGCCATACGCAGTGCCAGTCGTCAAACAAGTCCCCGTGCCAGTGGCCACCCCGGTCGTCGTGCCCGCCATCCAACAAGCAGCCCCGTTGATCTCTACAGGTTACAGCGCCGGACTTGAATCGTCTGCAATCGGTTACGGTTCCGGTTCTGGTTACGGCTCCGGTTACGGTTCCAGTTACGGCTCCGGTTACGGTTCCAGTTACGGCTCCGGTTACGGTTCCAGTTACGGTTCCGGTTACGGACTTGGATCATCGGCCATCGGTTACGGCGCATCTTCGTACGGTTCCGGAAGCCTGTACAGCGGATCTTTGGGATACAGCAGCGGAAGTCTGTCTTCTTACGGACACGACGCCCACCACAGTTTCGATTACAAGAAATAAAACAGTCGAATGATTGCCATGCAGCGACTGCACTGCATTGACGGAGATTATACTTAAGATTTGTATCGTACCGTGTATATTGTGTATACACATATTATGTTCTTAGACAATTATTGCAATTTTGTTTTTATAATATATTTTCAATGTTGTTGATAACCGATAGTTATTGACTGAAATTAAATAATAAATGTTTTTTATTATTTTATATGCTCGTACCTATACTTTTTCGTATTGCCCTCAAATAAAATTCAATCTACAATACTTTTGGGGACAATTTGACGAAATACGATTGTATTTGTTCCAAAACAATACATATACAATTATGTATTCAAAATATTTCTATCGCTTTAGAACAACTCTTAACAATTCATAAAATTTAAAATATCATATTCCGTGTATTAACGAATATTTCGACATACATTTCAGACAATACTGGCTTTACCATCACTACAATCTCATTATAGCATAAAAAAATCGTGATATTCTAATATAACGATTTATAAATAATTAAAAATTACATATTAAACCAATTTAAAAGTACTCAAAACTCCATCTGAATTGGGCTGACCAATGATTATAAATAGTAATAAGCGCGTTTTCGCGAAGATACCGAGAGCAAACAGTTTGCTCAACTTTGCCGATTGTTTACTGATTAATGGCATAACAAATTTGTTCATCGCCAAAACGCGATTTTGTCTAAAAGTGATAAGTCCATTATAAGCATTATCAAAGGTACCAGAAACACTAAACAACTTGAAATAGTCGTTTAGTGATAGCACCAAACATTTTAGTAAGCGGTAAACAGTTTTGACATAAAATTATCGCCAAAACGGGTTTTAGTAAACTGTTTGCTCTTGCGGTACCTCCGCGAAAACGCGCTTATAATGTAAGTGATTTTTTTTTTCATCATTATTCTTAACAAACCCGCGGCAACATAGGCTTTTGTGGTGGTTGTTCTTAGTAGGTTTTTATTGTGTGGGTTGGTGCGGTGGGTTGAAAACACCACGTGTGTGTGTGTGTGTGTGACCTGTGCGTACTCTCAATAACCATTGATTGCAACTACGCCACACCACGCCATTTGTGTATGCATACAAGTCTTATGGTGACTATATGACGTGTTCTGTTTTAATTCATGATGGCCACGAAATAGGAAAATTCGCATTTTTCGACTATCATGATATTTAAATTCAAATTTGAATCAAAATTTCATCGTAGAGATGACCAGAGAAGTTAATTTTTTTTTATTTAACCTACTGCAAGACAATACCAGTCAAAATGCGGCTGAAATATGATAAAATATATTAAAATATAAAAATATAAAAATTGATCATTGAACAGAAAAATTGAATTAGATAATATCCGATTATGACCGTTACTATTTTTATTATCTACGTCGATCGAATCATAAATTATTATTATAACCATAATAATGATAGTTATAATAACACATTATTACACGCATGTTTTTTGATCGATATGTTTTTATTACAGTTGTAAAGATATGAAATAAATATTTTCAATGACGCCCCAAACTAAAAATTAAATGAAACAATAGTAAGATATATGACAATATGTCATTGCACGAGTACCTCTACACGGTTTTAAGCGTATTAGAAATACAGCTAATTTATGTAATTATTAATCCAAAAATTGGATGTTTTAAAATTTTATGAATACGAAACAGAACTTTGTTGCACGTGTACAAATACATATCATGTTATAAATGCATGTTTTACAATTTTTATTATTAATATAAAATGAAAATTACTTTACATCGAAAAATAATTTGATTTTTTTTTCCTTTAGCGACCTTGTACAATACAAAATTTATACATTGCTCAATACTATAGAATAACACTTTGGACGAATAAATAAGATTAACATAATAAAACGTGTAATATTAATAATGTATACATAGTAAATAATGTATTATTTATAATTAAAATGCATCTTTAATAAGTCTAATAGGTCATCGAGTTATTCTTTTCATCACATGTTTTGTACGTATTTCGTATTACACTTCTAGTGCACAAAATGTGTTAAAATTTGCGTTTTTTAGAACAAATTATATTGTATGTACCTATATAACTAACTAAGTTTAGTTAAAGTTAATTTTAATACAAATTAATTTAAGTAAGTAAGTCAAGTTGCAGTGTTTCAGAAAAATAATGACTTGAGGCACAAGTAATTTTTATTTTTTTTAACATAATAGAGCAGGTAATTAATTTTTAAAGAGGTCTGGACGATTTGAGATGACATTTTTGAAATATTTTTTTTACTAAACAAGTTATTTCAGGTCTATGCAAATGAAAAAAATTAGTATTCAAGTAAAATATTTTTTGTGGTACATTTATTTCCAATCTTTCGGATGCTGACCGCGTTACGCTTATATTGTCAGAAATAAAATTGTATAAGTACATCAGAAATTAGGTCTAAAGTTGAAAACTTTTATATGCCTATAAATATCTCAACACCAGTTTAAATGATTTGAGGATTGCATGATGTATATAAAATACTAATTTAAATATTCAATGAAAATTGCATTAATCAGCTTGGTATAGCTAGAGTTATACTAAAAACCAAAAAAATGATTTTGGGAAACCCGATTTTGTGCAAAAATTCCAGTTTTTTCCTTAGTTAATTTTTTTTTTGTTTTCCCCAGTCCTTTTGAACACTTCTAAGAATTCTTTTATTTACACCAATCGAATGCACCAACTGTATTCACTTTCCTATCTAAAAAGATACTGAAGTTAAAAATCGAAGCAATATTTCAACTACTTATCTTGTACACAGAAACAAATGAAAAACAAATCATTGTAAAACCAATAAACAATTTATGATCCAGATCAGAATCTAAAATTTGTTTTATTACCTATCTATTATTGCTATTACCTAATAGTGTCTGGACAAGATACATGCACAATGCACTAATATTTGGGACATGCATGATTTAAAAATAATAATAATAATAATTAGATAAATTTTATATTTTGATTATCGTTTTTTTTTTTTTTTTTTTTCTATTTTTTGTATTCACCCAAATGTATTGTAAATACGTGTTTTAGAAGTAATTATAATTTACNAATTTTCGTTTGTATTATAATTTACGCTGATTAACAAATGTTTAAATTAAACTAAAGTATTTACAATCAAAGTCTACATATCTACGGAAAAAACATTTATTTATTTTTGTCAAGTATTGAGGTAATTATTCAGTCAGATGATATAGATATATTATTGTACGTAAAATAAAAGTAAATATATATAATATAATGAAATTATACAATTTGCTTGTAAAAATGAAAGGATTACCAATAATCACATAAACATACCTATATCTTGTTCTATTAAACTAAAATCAGTTATCTCACTAATCAGTGTTATTGATTGAATATATATATAAAAACATTAAATAAATTATATATTAGAGTAAACTCAACAGGTTCATCAATTTACTAAATAAGTTTGGAATAAAAGATTTTTTAACCAAAACAGCAACATGAAAACTATTACCAATCTAATAATATGTTAACCACCCAACACGGCAATAACAATTAATATCGTTGATGGAGATATAAAATTATTATTCATGATAAATACCATGTTACTATTGATAGCTATACTGATAATCTAGTTATAACTTAATTTATTTACTTACTGTTGATATACCTACGCGAGTTTTTAAACCGCGTTTATGTTCCTTTATAGATTTCATAAAATTGTTCAGCGAGTTTTTGTAAACCTGTACTTGTTTTCTCGATTTGTTAATTTTTTTTTATTGTATGTTCAATGGACACATCGTATATATTGTAAATGTTATAATTGAACATTTTTATGTAATACAACCTAATATTATAATACATTATTTATAGATTGCATATGGTATAAACATGGTCACAATAAATACGATGAATTAATAAAATTAAAACACGTATTAAGATTAAAATCTGATTTTACTGGAAAAAATTTCTACTAGATACTTACTGGGCATTATTATAATAATTTTGTTGGATCTTGTCGGCATTATTCAATTATTTTTAATCATAAAACAAAAATTGAGTTTGTAAAATAATTTAGTATTAAAAATAATATTAAAATCAATAAAATAAAAATATTAAAACTAAATAAAAAAAAAAAAAAAAAAAAAAGTGGTGCCAACAAAAAAATAAGTTTGATTTTTTATTGACGTATCCAATTTCTTACGAAAAATTATTTTAGATTTCGACTTAGCCGTTTATTACACGGCTATCACATCAAAATAAAAAAACTAATCATATTAAAAAAATTTGCAAATTTACCACAAAATGCATGTATAGCCAGAAAAAT